GCTTCAACCCCTTCCTTGCCTTTTTTTTAATGCACATACTGTATACAAAAATGCACATTTTCTACATGAAAATACAAGTAAAACCCCCCAACACAGATTATTTGAAAGCAAAAACACGAACATCAATGTGTGGTAGTTGTAATTTTTTTTTATGCCACACAAAATTTTCAGTAAAAAATACAATATAACTTCAGTGCACATAATAACAATATCATCCCAAATTTTCTGTAAAATATAAAAGGAGAGGTTGTACGGAGGAAATCTATACCAAATTTGACAAGACTTGAAAGATTGTGTTCAGTAAGCTTCTACCCTGACCAGTGCGGCTGACGTTTGACATCCCTGAATCTGGAAGTACTTAGAGCTGAGCGCTTCAGGGTTCACCCTACTGAGAGGAGATTGGGGAACGTTGGCAGCAGCAAAAGGGGTTAAAGAACCACTATTGTGAAAATTATTGTATTCTGATTACTAGTTAATACATATTGGACTGACAAAGACCAATCTAGGGAGATTACGCAGCGTCAGCCAAGCCATCCACATAGTAGTGGAGAGCCATCGGCAAAAAATGCAAACGTCTTAGGACCAAACGTTTGGTTGTGATAGAACCTGGATCACTGGCCATAGGCTTGGTACAGACCGCCAAGGCCTGACACACCTACATAGAAGCCAGGGTAAGCCCAATGAGAGCCAGGGTAAGCCCAATGAGAGCCAGGGTAAGCCCAATGAGAGCCAGGGTAGGCCCAATGAGAGCAAAAGAAACCATAAACAAGTCCATCGTATCCTTCAAGGCCGGATATCTGCTACCTGCACTGTCAGTGACTTGGCAAGGTATGAAATCGCAACATTGATCGGCAGAAATTCCCACGTTTTGAGGAATTCTCCCTCCAGGGAATACTGCTGTTTAAACGGCTTTGGAGAAACGAAAAACTTCTCAGGATGCTGCCAATTCCCATATAGCGCCCCCTCTGCCCCCCATTTACCGGTGTCAGACATAAAAATCCCCCCTTCATGGTGTCAGTAATAATACACACCTCCTTTTCATTGATGTCAGTGACTTGCAATAACAACCCCCCTCCTTCATTGGTGTCTGCAATAACCCTACCTTCACTGGTGTCAGTGGCAGCAATAATAACTACCCCTACCTTCACTGGTGTCAGTGGCAGCAATAATAACTACCCCTACCTTCACTGGTGTCAGTGGCAGCAATAATAACTACCCCTACCTTCACTGGTGTCAGTGGCAGCAATAATAACTACCCCTACCTTCACTGGTGTCAGTGGCAGCAATAATAACTACCCCTACCTTCACTGGAAACCCCCCCTCCCTTCACTGGTGTCAGTGGAGGTAATAACGCCCCCCCCCTCCCATGCCTTCTATGGTGTCAGTAGCAGCAATAATAACTACCCCTACCTTCATTGGTGTCAGTAATAACCCCTCTCCCCTGCCTTCAGTGGTGTCAGTGGCAGCAAAAATAAGTACCCCTACCTTCACTGGTGTCAGCGTCAGTAATAACCCCTCTCCCCTGCCTTTAGTAGTGTCAGTAGCAGCAATAATAACCCCTCTCCCCTGCCTTCAGTAATGTCAGTGGCAGTAATAACCCCTCTCCCCTGCCTTCAGTAGTGTCAGTGGCAGTAATAACCCCTCTCCCCCGCCTTTAGTAGGGTCAGTGGCAGTAATAACCCTTCTGCCCTGCCTTTAGTAGAGTCAGTGGCAGTAATAACCCCTCTCCCCTGCCTTTAGTAGTGTCAGTGTCAGTAATAACCCCTCTCCCCTGCCTTCAGTAGTGTCAGTGGTAGTAATAACCCCTCTCCCCTGCCTTCGGTGGTGTCAGTGGCAGTAATAACCCCTCTCCCCTGCCTTCGGTGGTGTCAGTGGCAGCAATAATATCCCCCTTCTTCACTAGTGTCTTCATTCTGAGTTAGCTATCATAGCAGTCATGAAAAGTCTTAAATAGCTGCAGAAAAGTCCCCTCTGGACAGAATGGAGGAAGGAGCAACCCATGAAGGAGCTAAGGAAGACTTAGAGAAGTGTGTGGACTCAAGCAGGGGACAATGATCCAAACTATTGACATCGGATCCTCTAGGAGGAAGGATGCAGAACGCACCGCCCCTTTCTGCTTATAATCCAACATACGGTCATACATAACAGTAAAGGAAAACACACCTTAGAAGACCCTGGGGGTTACTTACAACCAATCCTGGCAGATCAAAAGTATGACCTTTGACCTGCATATGACGTAATAACTACTTTATACCTTTTTCTTTAATAACATAAAATTCCTATTAATCCTTTATTAACCCTTATTTATCCTAATCAGCCCTAATGAACTCCTTCCTCCCTTTATTCACTTAGCTATTATTTTTCTGCTATTTCAATTTTTTGAACCATTAATTTTTTTATTTTTTTTGCATTTATTTAGTTTGTTACTTCTTTCAGTGACACATGACAACAAAATGCGCACAATTGAAAAAAAAAACAAAAACCAACAATACCTTTGTTTCAATTGCAAATAACTTTACCATGTTTTGTAACAGAAACATCATTTTAGCATTTTAGGATCATTTTAAATGATATAAATTATAGAATAAAATGCATACTTTTATTTACAGTAAAACTTAAAACAAAAAAACATTGATCAAAACCAGGACATTTTTTTCTCTTTTATGTCTTATTGTCTAAAGATTGCATTTTTTTTTTGCAAAACAATATTGCCAAAAGAAAGCCTGGTTCCCCCCCACCCCCCAAAAAAGACATATGTACTACTTCTGTATCTTAAAAGGAGTGAAAATCACTCAGCCTCATAGTTCTAGCCGACGTGTGACAATGAAACTGTCACAGGTCGGCTCAATAGATCGGGAAGTGAGCGAACACATACCGTCGCTCGCTCACTTCTCAATCCTGTCCCTGCAGAGAGCCGTGACTGTCACCCACGGCTCCCTGCAGGATTCCCCTCCTCCCCTGTCCGATCCTCCAGCACTGACTGGCGGAACTGACGGGGCACGGGGTGGGTACAGCTGGCTCTGCCTCTAGATAGGCAGAACCAGCTGTCACTCACACAGCTGGGTGGATCCAGACAGTAATGTCGGGATCCGTCCCGGCTGCGGCATCTCAGTATACCGCGTAGCTCGTGGTATACTGAGCTTTGGGTGACGGGAGGCCGCTAGTTTGTGTCCTCCCGTTACCCTTAGGAGAACTATGGGGAAAAGCCCTGACCCCATAGTTCTCCTTTAAGTAGTGACAAAGTTATCACCATATAATAAATAAACAGGCCAGATAAACAGGCCCATACTGGAAATGTAACAATTGCTCTGGTCCATAAGGGGTATACAGGTACAAGAGCTAAAGGGGGGAAATCTTAGACTAGGGCTGCAACCAACTAATCGATAATGAGAATAGTTGTCAACTATTCTCATTATTATGGAATAGTTGGTTGGATCCCCTAGCTCTCTCCTCCACGTTGGAGGAGGGCACAGCAAGCAGTGGGCGGGTGCAATAGCCAGTTTGCTATTGGCTGTATCAATTTGAAATGGCCAATAGCAGGTTGGCCATTGCACCAGCCCACTACCTTCTGTATTTACATTCAGCTGCCGTCCACGGAATCTTGCCACTGGCAGCAGTCATTCCCTGGCTGAAGCTATTCAAGCGCCATATGCTTACAATACAATTATTTAAAAACATTTTTTTTATAAAAAAGGTGGGAAAAAAGTCATTTTCAGTTTCGGCTTGACAAATTCTGCTGCGGGAGGTACGATGCCATGCCATTCATTTCAATGGCACCCCAAACGCACCTCCCACCCACAGTGTGATCGCCCCCACCGGAACACACGGTACCGCAATGCTGTGCATTCCAGTGCACTGCGATTGCAAAATATTGTGCATGCCGTTTTATTCTGAAGTAAACTTTATGTTTGTAACACGGCATTTGTATATTTTATTTTAGGGATGCACCGATACCAAGTACAGTACTCAGCACAGGGTACAAGTACTTTTCCAGCTCCAAGACTAGACTAGAGAAAGATTCAAAAGTTAGGAGGCGGCTGTCATTTGTAAGGAGCACACGGAGCTCCTGGGATTTGTACATTTCTGTTGTAATGTATGATTTTGTTTTTATAAAAAGGGATGCACCGATACCAGTTTTGCAAGTACAAGTACTGATACTGGTCCAAGTACTCACAGACACAAGTACTGATACAGTTTTGTTTCTTGTCATGTGACAGTTTTTCTAAAACAATACAGACAAATGATTTCAGGACAGTGGTGGAGCGCCAGAGCCAGGCCCCAGCTGCGACCGCTGCAACCCTGGTAGTTCTCATGAAAATGCCAAGTATCGGCACTGGTACTCGAAAAGTATCGGTGCATCCCTAGTTTATTTTAAATCAAAGATGGCATTTCTTTCTTTTTTTTTTATCCGATCGAAAAAATAAAATTGGCCAATCAATTATGAAAATAATCATTAGTTGCAGCCCTACATTAGACATAGGTAACACATGTCCCCGAGCATAAAATGGGTTAAAATATTAACGTGCCATTTTAGTCAAAGGGATACACAGCTGAAGTGAGTGTAATTCTGCCCGGGCATTCTTTACATTTACACCCCCGCGCCACATTTCATAACCAGCAATGTGACACTACTTTTCATTACTGCAATTTCCCAGTTTCCTGTGTTATCTGCCTGCTCATTTGATTATAAAAGAACATCATCACGCTGCTGAGGGCCGGTCCTCCCCTTCTAGTTTCCTGTGCCTATAAACATGAAAGACTGCCAGCACTGCCTAATGCAGATGTATCTGATGGGTCACATTGGCAATCCCAATGCCAGACTGATTTCTGCAGTGCAGGAGAATCTATGAAAAGAGATTACAGGTGGTTATACTGTACAGTGTCCCTCACATAGAAGGAATATCGCTGATAAACTTCTCTGTAAATTGCATCGTATGTAATGTCTCTTTTGCAGTGACCACACATCCCACTATGATGCAATCACGAGGTATAAGAACGAGTGGAGGCAAAAGATTTTATTCTGGAAACCTCCAGATCTCCACGGTTTGCTCTCCGGCAGCAGCCACAGTGTCTCCAGCCACGCTGACCTGTGATAAAAAAAGGAAGACGACGAGAATAAGTTACAGAGGTGAATACAAAATGAGGAACAGCAAAAAGAAAATCTAATTGTGTAAGCTCCTAACAGAGAATGTATTTGACTTATTCTACAATCTAAGCCATGTGCAGTATTCTGGATTATCCAGCGTGTTTTGTCAGGCAGCATCCAACCCATCCACCTACTGGTCCACCTGTCACACAGCTTCCCCAGCTGTCAGAAGTCCACCTCAGCTTGTCTTTTTGTGCCAGCGATTCTCAGCCTTTTTCCAGTCACGGCACCCTTTAAAACTAGGCAAAATCCCCGCATCCGGGAATCTATGTTTCCGAAATATTCTGTTAATTGCTTTCAAAATCCAATAAAACTATTTTGAAAAAAAAACTAGGCAAAATCTTGAGGCACCCCAGTATAAAATGTCATAGATTTTAAGGGGGACCACAAGCAAAAACACACAAAAAAATGGGTTTCATCTTCACATCAAAGAGCCCCCTTCAAATCAAGATTCCGCCCTTCACATCAGAGTTACCCTTTGCATCTGTAGCCCCCCTTCACATCAGGAGCCCCCCTTTCATATCAGAGTCCCCCTTTACATTAGGAGCCTCCCTTTCATATCAGAGTCCCCCTTTACATCAGGAGCCCCCCTTTCATATCAGAGTCCCCCTTTCCATCAGAGCCCCCCTTTCATATCAGGAGCCCCCCTTTCATATCAGGAGCCCCCCTTTCATATCAGCAAGCCCCCCTCACTTCAGTCTTCATTCCCCCCTTCACATCACAGTCCCACTACCACAATATTTTGAGGCACCCCTGAGAAAGCCAGAAGGCACACCAGGGTGCCGTGGCACCCTGGTTGAGAAGGGCTGCTCTGAGCTATGCCCCACTCGGCTATCCCAGAGGTTTGTGGTCACATGTAAAAGGAGGTCACAGACCTTAGGTGATGATTGAATGGGCACACAAGACATTTCAGGATGCCTGAAATGCTGACCAAAGTGAAGACAGGATAGGAAGTCAGCTCTGCACAGTAAACTGTAACAGCAGCAAATTGTCAAAAACAAACTCAAATTGCCAATAGGCCAATTGGCTTCATCTCGACAATGACAGAAGTGGAGGCCGAGTAGATAGCCCGAGCCTGCAATTGCAGAACTGAATGACTTGAACATTATCATATGTCGTTGTAGCCACCAGAGGGTGAACATACCTCAGCCAACATTTAAGACCTGGCAGGTTTTCCTTATGTAGGGCTGCTAACTGCAAATATTGACAAACAGATGACCACTAGGTTTTGATTTGCAAATTAGCAGGACTTGAAAAATCTGCTCGTCCTCTCGTCTGTGAAGAGAGGACGCTGGAGCCGGACGTGTAGCTTTCCGGCCGGCCGTTGTAATTAATTGGCCGGCCAGGAGCTTTACATTCAAGCGACCGGGCGTCTCTAGAGACGCCCGGTCGATTGTATTAGCCGCCGCAGTCACTGCGGTTGACGGTCCTAAAGTCCGCTGTGCCCGGTGCGGCCGGGAACGACATGGCTGCTCTGTGACAGGAGATCGGTACACCATCTCCCTCTGAGCTCCTCTCCGTCCCCGAATGCAGGAAGTGAGGTAAATTACATCACTTCCGCATTCTGCTTGCAATCTCCAGCTTCAGAAGATGGGGAGAAGCTGGTGAAGCTTCATCGGCTTCTCTTGGGGTCCCTAGGTGACATTAGGGGTCTAGAGACCCCTGATGTCTCCATAAAGAGGACCTGTCATGTAAATTGGCTATCACATAGGGAGCTTCTTAGCCCCCCATGTGATAGCAATAAAGTTAAGTGTAAAAAAAAATGAAAGCATAAATGCTTTAATCCTCCCACATGCACACACAAACATGCGTTGGGTTTTATAGTAAACTAAAAAATAAACACCCCCCCCCCCCCCCCCTCAGTGGTGATTAAATATCTCCAAAAGAAAGCTCCATCTGTCCCTAAAAAATGTCAACATAAATTGCAGAACTATAGTCCCGTCGTGCTGACTGGGGACATTTTTGACTCACTGGTGGAAATTTTTTAAGCCCTGCAAATTAGTATATTAAAAATGGAACAGAAACCACGTGAGAAATCCACTTAAAAATAACATTTAGGTCAATTTTACAATAACAAATTGAAATGAGTAAATCGCTGAATATACCCTTTGATGCAACAGACTTACCCCATTGACCACATGACTGTGTGTCAGTGTGTGAAGCGTACGTGGAGGGTCAGTCGGAATGTGGACCTGGAAGTAGAAAGAACAGAGCTGTGACTGAGGACTGTCATGGTAGTTCTTAAAGTGAACCATTTCTAAGGAACCACAGTCCTTAAGTGTAGCCCCTGGCAATGCCTTCCATTACCTCTGTTAGTTTTAAGATCAATGTCTGTCACCTGGTGGAGCCTGTTAGAATAAAAGGCTTAGATGGTTCATGGGGACCCAACCTCTGCCCATGTTGAAATGTAAGCCTGTCCTGTCATTCAACTGCCAAAACTTCACTGGCCAATAAAGGCTCCGTCACCCGACAGATGAATGAAGTAAGCATGGCTCAGCAACAGAAGCAGCGGGCTTAAAGGGTTTCTAAACCCTTCGTTATTTTTGCATATATCTACTGCTAGCAAGCAGTAGATATATGCAAAAAGTTGAAAAAAAACCAAGAATAAAACGCTTTAACAGCAGTTTAAACTTACCCTGTCTTCGCTGTGCGCTCCCGTCCGAGAATCCGAAACTGCTCGGGCAGCCGCAAAGCATCTTGGGGCGGGCGCATGCGCACTTCTGATTTTCAGCCGGGAGACGAGGAGAGACGCAAGGTAAGTCTACGGCCGCGTGCACCCGCCTGCAGACACCGTGGGACAGGAAGTACCAGCAAGGACAGAGGAGTCAGCGCTGGATCGGAGACCCGCCGCAGCACTGGAGGGACAGATGAAAACATCAGGAAAGAAGAAGAAGATTGGATTAAGAGACATCATTTAAGGTAAGTGCTAACATTAACATGGGGGGAGGGAAACATTTTTTTGCCTTTAATGTCACTTTAAAGCAACCCTGTTATCTGCTAAAAAATACGAATAAAACAGGTGCAAAAGTAGACTATTAGGCCGGGTTCACACCTGGCCGTAGCATAGGCACGTTTTTTCTGCGCGTTTTTTAGCACGTTTTTCCGTTTAGTGAAACGCGCGTTTCACTGGCAGTATGATTTTTTTTTTTTTAAATGTTCCTTTATTTTCTCTATTTTTTTTAAATTATTTTTTAACTTTCAAACTTCTTGCCGGTTCCGCCTCCCTGCGACGCCGCCACTCGCAAGGGACGGAACCCGGAAGACGGCAGCCGCCGGAGGACACAGGTAAGACCTGTACGCTGTATTCCCGAGTGTGGCTCGGGGTTACCGCTTTGTTAACCCCGAGCCACACTCAGCAATACCAATGCAAACGCACTGAAAAACGCCCCAAAGAAGCTCTTGTACTTGTTTGGGCGTAGGGCGTTTTCAAGGGCTGAAATACGCCCAGGTGCGAACCATGCCCATAGGGAAGTATGGGATTTCACTGTTTGAGCGTTTTACAGCGCGTCGATCAGCACTGTAAAACGCCCAGGTGTGAACCCGGCCTTAATAGTTATGTGTTCAGCTGCCGTACTTTGGAAAGTCTCTCTCTTGAACACCTACTCTATGACGTTTGCAGAACATTCTTCATCCACCACACTTCAATGTGTGTTGGGTGCGAGGCCTCCTGCTCTACACTGCGGTTCCATCTGTGAGCCTCTACTTCCCTACAAGACATATATCTTTAAGAGTGAAGATCTGAGGCAAGGGTGGTGGGACAGATAAGCATGAACGGTCTTCTTTTGCAGAGTCTTTTTCTTTCATTTGTTTTTAGTCGCTTTAACCATGACATGGACAGAGGTGGACGCTCCATGCACAGCTTGGGCCTAAGATCCAAGGGATTTTTGGGGACACAGAGATCTATTTAAAGAATAAAAGGCACTTTCAGGTAAACGAAGGTGCTGCACATCAGCAAATGGTGTTACATACAGGTCAGGCCAAGCTCACTTTAAAACAGAACTCCAGGAAGATGCATTACATTCTAACGCCCATCCCTTGTTGAACTTAAAGTGATATGAAAAGGCAAAATTTTTTTTCCCTCCCCCCCCATTGTAAATGTTAGCACTTACCTTAAATTATGTCTCTTATTCTGGTCTTCCTCTTCTTTCCCCATGTTTTCATGTGTCCCTCCAGCGGTGCAGCGTCACTCCGATCCAGCGCTGACTGCTCTGTCCCTCCGATCCAGCGGTGTCTGCATGCGGGTGCACGCGTCCATAGACTTACCTTGCGTCTCTGCTCGTCTCCCGGCCGAGAATCGGAACTGCGCATGCGCCTGCCCCAAGATCCTTTGTGGCCGTACGAGCAGTTCCTGATTCTCGGCGTGGGAGTGAGCAGCGATAACGAGGTAAGTTTAAAATGATTTCAAGCGTATTTTGTTTTTTTCTACACTTCTTGCCTATATCTACTGCTTGCTAGCAGTAGATATAAGCAAGAAAAACCGGAGGGTTTAGAACCCCTTTAAAAACACAAAATGCAAACTCTTCGATTCCAAAACCCTTTAACAGTTGTTGCCTAGTAAAGACAAATTAAACTTCCCCTGAGGGTTTAGCTGCACTTACTCTCAACACCTCTTGCTCTAGATTCTTTAGAAGGAATTCAATCATTATGATCTCTTTAAACTACCGCAGCCTGCAGCCTAATCCTGTTTTGCCTGGTAGTCTAACCTGCAGTTCTTCTTGAAAGCAAAACATTTTGTACGATTCCTTTTCACATACGCAGGCTGCACTGTTCATCATTCAAAAAACAAAATCAGCAGAACATAATGCCTACTATCTTGTTCACTCACCTTCATAGTTTTATCAGTGGAAGTTGAGTAGAGTGTTCCTGCTGAGTGGCAGATCCCAGTGATCTGGGAGGTGTGACCTACATCAAAACACTGATGGGAGACAGCAAGAGGAAGACAAAGAAGAGAGTACCAGGATAAGTGATAGACAAGGATTAGGTAAGAGACAGACGAAGGACAAAAAACAGATGGATGGAAGAGTAAGGAGAGGAAGACAGGAGGGGATAGGAGGAGTAAAGAGAAGAGGAGAGAGAAAGAACAAAAGAGAAGAGGACAAAGAAAGGAGGAATAGTAAAGAGAATAGAAGGGGAGAGAAAGAGCAAAGAGAAGAGGACAGGGAGGAAGGGAAGAGTAAAGATAAGAGGAGGGGAGTGAAAGAGCAAAAAGAGGACAGTGAGGACAGGAAGAGTGATAAGAAGAGGACAGGGAGGAAAGGAATAGTAAAGAGAAGAGGAGGGGAGAGAAAGAACAAAGAGAAGAGGACAGGGAGCAAAGGAAGAGTAATAAGAAGAGGACAGGGAGGAAAGGAAGAGTAAAGAGAAGAGGAGGGGAGAGAAAGAACAAAGAGAAGAGGACAGGGAGGAAAGGAAGAGTAAAGAGAAGAGGAGGGGAGAGAAAGAACAAAGAGAAGAGGACAGGGAGGAAAGGAAGAGTAATAAGAAGAGGACAGGGAGGAAAGGAAGAGTAAAGAGAAGAGGAGGGGAGTGAAAGAACAAAGAGAAGAGGACAGAGAAGAGAGGATGAGTAGAGAACAGGAGGGGAGTGAAAGAGCAAAGAGAAGAGGACAGGGAGGAAGGGAAGAGTAAAGAGAAGAGGAGGGGAGAGAAAGAGCAAAAAGAAGGACAGGGAAGAAAGGAAGAGTAATAAGAAGAGGACAGGGAGGAAAGGAAGAGTAAAGAGAAGAGGAGGGGAAAGAAAGGAAGAGTAATAAGAAGAGGACAGGGAGGAAAGGAAGAGTAAAGAGAAGAGGGGGGGGAGTGAAAGAGCAAAGAGAAGGAGGACAGAGAAGAGAGGAAGAGTAGAGAGAAGAGAAAGGAGGAGAGGAAAAGCCAAGAGAAGACAGATATTGACAGAAAGTAAGGAAAAACAAACAGACAGGGTGGAAAGTGGAGAAGAAATTAATGGAAGGGGATGGGTGGAAAAGAGCGAGCAATAACAGTATATAGGTGTGGAAATAAAACGAATGGCAGGAGAGGAGGAATAAAGTGACAGTAATAGTCAAGAGAATAAGGTGATTACAAGAGATGCAAAAAAACAAAAACAGAACGAACAAAAAAAATAATAAATAAAGGATTAGTAGGTAAATACAAGGACAAGGAGGGTAATCTTTTTAAATATACAGAAGGCCTGTATGATTATTATCTCTAAAATACAAGTGTAGGTCATGTTTGTGTCTTAGCCAATCTCTGACAGCTTCCAAGCAGGCACGGTTTTCCACGAAATTCCAAAATTACAGGTAGAATAATAGGCATATTTCCAGGAGTTGTTGCTTTCTACCAGAACTTGCTTCAAATTGCAAGTCCAGAAATGAGGTTGTGTTGGAGGACAACACGGACCAAAAGCTAAGAAACAATTTCCTATTTTATTCTGCCGTGACTCACACACAGCCATTTATACCAGTCCCTATTCTTAAAAAAGACTTGCATTGAATAAAAAAAAAAAAAAAAAAAGACTTGCACACTAATTTTCTACCACATTCATTCAGACACATACTGTATATCAGGGTCAGAAGTAAGCATAGGAAGTGTGAATGAGGGTGGATTTCTATAGAGTTACAGGTAAAAATAAAAGGAAAAAAGAAGCCTACTATATAAAACAAATACAGCTACATCCAAGGACTGCTGAGCTGCAATATACTGTATGATCTTTGCTCTCTGGATTCTGGCCTCGGCTTGTTATACAGACTCTGATCTTTGCTCTCTGGATTCTGACCTCGGCTTGTTATACGGACTCTGATCTTTGCTCTCTGGATTCTGGCCTCGGCTTGTTATACAGACTCTGATCTTTGCTCTCTGGATTCTGACCTCGGCTTGTTATACGGACTCTGATTTTTGCTCTCTGGCTTCTAGTGCTGAGCTGCAATATAGTGTCTGATCTTTGCTCTCTGGATTCTGGCCTCGGCTTGTTATACGGACTCTGATCTTTGCTCTCTGGATTCTGGCCTCGGCTTGTTATACGGACTCTGATCTTTGCTCTCTGGATTCTGGCCTCGGCTTGTTATACAGACTCTGATCTTTGCTCTCTGGATTCTGGCCTTGGCCTGTTATACGGACTCGGATTCTGCTTTGTGGACAGAACTCTGCCCATCTGCTGTTGTCATCAGCTACATCTGCCGGTTCTGGCTACTGGTATCAATTCCTAGCAGGTAACACTTATTACAATAAGTCTGTGAATAAATTCTACACAGATTGCACTCAGATCTCTCTCCACAATGTACCAATATCAAACTGTAATTTGCAGTACCCGCAGGTGCTGGAATGTCCCTCCGTGGCTTCCGTACACATGGATTAGTCCTTGGTTGTTTCCTGCCCATAGCTGTGGTGCCTCATAGGTCATGCAGAACAGGTAGTTGTCCATCTGTGTAAGAGAAGAACAAAGAGATGACAGGGAGGTATTATACTGTCTCATACAGCTTTACAGAAATTATAATATTAGTAAACTGTCAATTAAAGCCTCACCCATTGTCACACCGCCCAACACCTACCACTGCTGTTTGAGTTAAAGCAGAACTCCTGGTAAATCAAATATTAACCCTTGAAGTGGGACTACCCCTGCACTGCAAGGGTTAAGTGCTCATTCTGCCTAGCGAGCTAAAATAACAAAAGTTACACTCACCAGAACCGCGTTCCCGGATGGCTCCCACACCGCTATCTCCAGCGATGGCATGTCTCTCGGCTCCATTCGGCCTCCAATTTTGCAGCCAAATTGGGACAACGCTTACTTTATATACATGTTTCCAGTCACAGAGCATAACGTATGAAAAATTTAAAATGGCTGCTCAATTTTTACTCGCTCTCTTCTGAAAACTCAAGTTTTCTACTTATGTGTAATGTTAAGGAGGGGGCTGGGGAATAATGTTTACCACAACTAAACCTGTCTGTACTGTGCTGGTGGATCTCAATGCCAGTTGTAAACTAGATTTGAGCACCATCTGTCCTAACAAAGGGTTTATACATCTCAGGACATTGTAATGAAAGGAAATGGAGTCTGTCCCCATTGTGTCTCCCTCCACTTTCACATTGTTCTGAGTAGCTTGCAGTCTGGCCAAAGGCTTGCCCTGAAGAAACCACTAGAAAGGTAAGAAATATTATTTAAAAATTATTTTTAGATATGTGTGCCAATTCACACGGCGTAACATACAGTGGGTGGGTTCTCAGATTTGACTGCAAAAGTGGAAAAACACTTTAAGACCACGCCACTTCCTCTGCTCTGTCATGGCTGTCGCAGAAAGCTGTTCCACCGCTTCACACATAAGAAGAAAGTGTATAAAGTGATCCTTCTCAGCAGGAATGAAAAGGTCATACATAAGCCCCCCCTAGATTAAATGAAACAAAGGATGTGAAGAATGTTTCTATGTAAGGTGAAACATTTACCCATACACAAACAAACCTCATGTACCTGTACGGTCTGCGAAACAGCATTCGCCCTGCGGTCAAACACCACCAATGTTCGGTCCTCTCCGCTTGACACAACGTGACGGTCATCGGCCACTAGTGACAACACCGGCCTGGAATGTAGCCTTCTGGATTTAATCAATGGATTTGACGCTAAAAAAAAAAGGATTATCTGGGTCATGGGATGGTAACGGTGTAATATATTTAAACCAACTATATACAAATAACACCTTTAAAAAACTTTTTCCTGCAGTTCCAAAGTGAATATACACTTCCTAAGGTATGTTTTGTTATATACTTACATCTGAAACGTACTATAATGCCACAGCAAATATTTATTAAGATAATAACAATAGCACTTTTCACATCACTCGCACAGGTCCAGGTAAGCAAATATCTTTAATGCCATACCTTTGGTTTCTTTGTCTATGACTGATGACCAATGCTTGGAGATCCTTAATGCCAAACCTTTGGTTTCATTGTCTGACTGATAACCAATGCTTGGAGATCATTAATGCCATACCTTTGGTTTCATTGTCTATGACTGATGAACAATGGTTTGAGATCCTTAATGCCATACATTTGGTCTCATTGTCTATGACTGATGAACAATGGTTGGAGAGCCTTAAAGCCATACCTTTGGTTTCATTGTCTATGGCTGATGACCAATGCTTGGAGATCCTTAATGCCAAACCTTTGGTTGCGATGGTTGTAAGGTGTATGGGCACCTTTAAATGTGTTCAAAAAACTCCACCCTACACAGGTGCAGGAAGCAATGCTCGCTGATGGATAGGTTAACTCTAAACTGGCTGGTGTATAAGGGTCAGCAGAGCACAAAGAAACTACCAGTCCCATCATACATGTTATAATCTCCATACCAAATAGAGTCAGATATTTTAACTCAAACTCACCAAACCGCAATCTCCCTGTCAACTGTGCAGGGTGTAATACAGTGCGCAAAAGAGAAATATATCAAATAAAATATCAAACTCTTGAGAATACATGCAAATGTACAAGTGTATAAACAAATAAATACTTTCATAATTAAATAAATTATAACAAATGAGTGGCTCTTCTCACCCGATAGTACTATAAAATACATAGCTTAGTCCCCATGAACATTTGTGTGTATATATATATATATATATATATATGTATATTAG